TGCTTCCTGTCCGTATAAGCAGACAGGAGCTGGGAGCAGACAAGTCTGGCAAGTCACCCGCATCCTCAGGGCGCTGCGTGATGATGAGATGCTCTTCCCTCTCCCTCACTCCCCAGTCGGCTGTCTGCTCATAGCACAGATGGCCAGGCCTATCTCTGTCCAGTCTGACCAGGGAAGAAGAGAACCGGAAGAAAAAAAAAAGGCTGCACCAAGAGAAAGGCTGCAGCCACCTTGACCACTGTTTGCCGCTAGCGATGGTGATGTGATTCTACCCTGGACTAAAGAGATTCAGGGAAGGCAGCCAGGGTAGAGCCTGCTCTCATCCAAGAGAACCGCCTTCCAGGAGACAGTGAGTCACCTGGGGTAGGAGCAGGAGGCAGAGATAGGAAGGGAAGGTCCTTGTGGGACTTCTGGAAAATCCCTGGAAACACTGATGAGGAAGTCAGGGTTTGGATGTCTGCTAAGAGAAGGCACTACGGTGGCCAGCATGGACCAAGGAGGTCTTGCCACTTCAGGCAGGTAAGAAGCTCTTGTCCATCTGTCTGTCATCTCCACACGGAGAGGAAGAAGCCAGGTAACAGGAGGGGAGCCCCAGGAAGAGGCCTATACCACCCCATACTGGGGAGAGAATGCAGTCATTGTACTGGACCAAGATTGGGGTTTTGGGGTTTTTTGGGTTTTTTTGGTACTGGAGATCGAACTCAGGACCTTGTGCTGGCAAGGCAGGCAGCGGAACCACTGAGCTAAATTCCCAGCCCAAGATTGGGGTTTTAAAGTGAATCACACTAGCCTGGGCCTTAGTCCTTGAAAGTGGTCCAAACCCAAGCGGCTGCTGTCAAAGGACACAGTAGAGAGGCTGTGACTGTGTAAGAGATCTTAGAAAAATAAAATCACTTGGTGTTTGTGCTTCCTAGGAATTAGGATCGTTCAATGGGCCAGAAGTGGCAGACACTGATTTCATGGAGGACAAAGTGGCAACAGGCGTCTGAATGCTGCAGCGTGGGGGAAACGCAACAGGCATGAGTCACCCTGTGACTATGCAGGTGGGGCTTCCCCAGGGGCCTGGGACCACTTGGTGCCCGCTGTCCTCAGCAGAGGTCAGTTGTGGGGCAGGATAGCAGAATCCAGGCCCAGCGGGTGCCTGCAGGAGACCCCTGAGACAGGAGCACATCCTCCCAGAGGGACAGGGCCTGGACGCCAGCACAGACTGACTCTGTCATTGTCCCTGACCTTTGTTGTGTGGTGGTCGGTGTCTCAAATCCTTTGACTTCTGATATCCTGAAGGAAATGCAGGGGAAGGTCCGTGACCACACCCACACTGGGGCACAGCCACAGCGGCAGGAGGTGCTGGGGACTCCAGCTGAGAAGGGCCCTGCCTGGGAGTGACAGCGACAGGTTCACTGCCCATTGCATCTGTCGCAGTGGCGCTCGAGGGGCAGTTCCTGAATACACGCAGGCACCCAAGAGCCAGGTTCCTAAGAAAAGCAGGGATCCTGGGGATGCAGTTTTATGTCAGAAAAACTAATGTGAATCAAACCATCACTGCTTTACTTACACCGTACTCTATTATCCAACAACGGAACAAGCTACTTGTCACTGCAAGTGCTGTAGGGGTAAATGTTTTCCTTTTAGGAAGCATTCAAAGGGTGTTCCTAGGGCATGTATTTAACATTCATTTCTTGTCTGTCCAGCATTTTGCTAAGCTCTTTACACACAAACCTTGTTAAAACATGATATTACAAAATGAGGAAACTGACGCTTACAAATATAAGTAAATGGCCCAAGATCTTGTCACTACTTGTAGCAGAGACTTGGAAGGTGCGTACAGGCAGACAGACCCTAACTTTGGATGGTTGGACTTGTGAGTTTCCAACCACGTGCTGGTCTTTTCAGCTGTGTGTGTTAATGTGAGCAGCCGTGCAGTTATTCTGTTTTTCACTTTCAGTACAGTGTGCAGCAAATTACATGATGTATGCAACACTTTACTATAAAACAGGCTTTGTTAGATGATTTTTGCCTAGCAGGGGCTAATGTTAAATGTTCCAAGCACATTTAAGGTAGACCAGGTTAAGCTCCAATGTTCCACAGATTAAGTGTATTAAATGCATTTTTGACCTACGCTATTTTCAACTAATGCTGGACCCCTTGGGATATAGCCCCATTATGAGCTGAAGAGCGTCTGTGCACTAGAATGCACTGGTGGGGCAGGATGACACAAGCACAGAAAATGATTCATTGCTGCAGGTGCTCCAGGGCTCCATGACTTAGTGGGAGGGGAAGAAGGGAATGAAGGGGATGGTCCTGCTTCTCGGAGGATGTGTCCTAAAGGCTGTGACAGAGCGTGTAGGAGTGAAACGAGGAGGGGGCTCCCCGGGAGTGAGTGACACGCAGCTGACATTCCAGATGAGAGGGCCAGCAAGGTGATTCTCACAGGGACGGCTCAGGGAATAGTGCCTGAGGGTGAACGAGCCTGAGTCCCAGGCCACATCACCTCCACCAGATGCCACAGAGCTCTGGGTGCAGCCGGAGGCTGGGAACAAGGGCGGGACCTGTCGGTCTGAGGGGTGAGGCTGCAGACATCAAGGGGCCAGAAGGCAGCTGGAAAGGAGGCAGCTGTGGGTGTGGCGGGAGAGACAAGATGGGAGATTGTTTGTTGAGAGCCCATTCTGGAATCCAGGATTTCTGATGAGATGGCCTGGCTGGCTGGGAATGTCGGCTGAAATGAACAGAGAGTGAGTCGCTGGCATTAAAAGAATGTCTCAAGAATTTGAAGCTAAGTAGATTTCCCGTAGCCCTAAGAGTCCTTAATTCTGTGCACTAGTTGGCTGTTCCTGAAATGAATGGGCTTGTGAAATGCTTCAGTATCATTATACAAAAGCTGGTTGTCTCATTAAAAGTTGCTATGTTACTCAGCTTTTTGCAAATATACCACCAGGGTGTTAGGATCAGAGCCTGTGATTTTCATAATGGCACCAATTAAGTGTTTTAGGTTTGTGATGTGTGGACAGCGTGTTTATTTGTGATTTTAACACCCCAGAACCTGTGCGATGTAAGCACACAGAGCTGTTCGTTGGCGGCATACAACTGATCAGACTCAGATGCAGATTATGACAAGAAACATGCAGCCACCCAGCTTTAAGGATGCAGGTAGACACCTTACCTCAGAGTCTCTGAAAGCCTTATCAGCCACCAGAGGCCTCACGGGTGGTTGTGAAACTCTTGAAGCTCTAACCAGCCCCCTCCATCCTCTTTTTAGGTGTCTTCCTGGTATGGAAGACACAGGTGAGAATTATCGATGTAGAGTCTCATCTTGCGGTCATCTTACACAAGCAGAGTTCAGCACCTTAGTGGGTGTTGACCATGAACAACTGCTTTGCAGAGGTCATGACCTGTTACCCCAAAGCCCCCTTTACATTCTACTCTTTTGTTCAAAGAACAAAGAGCTCAACATCTAAGAAACTTTTGTTTAAAAGAAATTGCTGCCAGATATAATTATGAAAGGCCTTTGCCTTCTCCCCAGTAAGAAGTGTAGAGATACAAACAGATCAGTGGAGTTGAACTGAAAAGGCTAATTTTGATGTTAGCAAAGGCCATGTGCTAGAAATTGGAGTTTGTCTTTGACAACTAAATTGGGGATGGTTTTTGTCAACGGTTACTGCTTCTATGTGCCTCAAAGGCCTCTGGAAAAAAGATAGTTTTGGTACAGAATCCCCATCATTTTTATATCTTTGGGTGGACTTCAAAAAGATGGTCCTAAGAGAAATGATGCCAAGCCAATTTCAGACTTAGAATCTTCTACAGTATTCTGTGTCACAGACACCCTCCTTCCCTTTTGCTTGTTGGGAAAGGTCAACTGATCTCAACTCATTTGAGGTAAATGTTCCCAGCCCTCAAGATTTTCTTCTCTTTTCTCCTCAGGCTTCAGCATGGGGTGAATGTTTATGGTTGAGTTAGAAATGGCTAAAAGACAAAGAGTGATCATGAGAGATTTAGAATGGAAATGCTCACTGCTTTCTGGCTTTGCCCGTGCTGACAAGCAACTTCTCTAAGTCCCACAGACCCAAACACGAGCCTTGCACTTCTGAGTTTCTGGTGAGGCTCTCAATGGAAGAGACAGCAGAAGCGCTGACACCAGAAATTTCCTGATAAGGAAACTCTGATGCTTTGGAGATTGGGCCCCTCACTGACCAGCAGAGGGATGATTTTCGGGCCAGTGCAGCCTGTTAGAATGGATGAAGAGAAAGGGACCTTCTCCTTTACTGTGTGACCACCTGGCAGGAAGTCAGTGCCTGCCAGGACACAGGGCTCCCCACGTACTGCAGGTGTCCAGAGTTAAGGGGAGTCCAGTCCTGACCAGGGCTCTCACGGGCCTTGATGCATGTCCTGATACGCCCAGAAGGCTTCTGCCTCTAGACAGCACTTCTTGGAAACGTGGAGTAAAAGGCTTCCATTATTTGCTCTTTCAGGAAATGATTCATGGTATTTCCAAAATCAACAGAATCTCTCACACAGCAGAATATTTGAATTCCCCAAGCGAGGGATCGCACATCTTCACAATCTCCTTGTTCCTGAGGTTGGTGTCCATTAGGGTCTGATTTGTTAGTGATTCTGGAAATCTGGCTCCAAATAAAACAATGTGGATACTTTAAAAATTTTTAATTTTATTAATTAAAATGTTTTTCCAGTCTCCCTGAAGCACACTTGGGGTCCTGGCTCACTTTTAGGAGAGGGATTCCTCGAGGAGGTAGAAGAGGTGGGGGTGGGGGTGGGGGGCAGTAAAAAGAACGCTGGACCTCGGCCGAATCTGCTGCTGATCTAGTTTTCAACAGAGACGCCAAAACCAAGATATAGAACAAAACAGTGTTTGAATGCCACTGTGAGTGTTGTTACTTGGAAACTGGGCACTGTCTTTATCACTTAAAGGATAGGACTACGTCTGCGTGAGAGTGGAACCCATTCCTTTGTGATGAGTGGGGCATTCCAGGGCAGAATTCCTCTAAGTGGCTGGTAGGACTGATGACACGATTGGGGCAGATGTCTGTGATCAGCGAAGCTGCCCATGTAGCCTTCTAGAAAACATTCAGGGCTGCTCTGTAGGCTCCTAGATATTCTGTCCTACATACATTTATTGCTTGTGTCTAGAGCCTGTAGAACTTTAATTTCTGCTACTAAAATTCCAACACCTTCAAAATTTCTGGGTCCCATCAGCAAAGAAGCAGTGGAACCATTTCTACAGCCACCAACACTCAATTCATGAGGGCCTGTATGGATGCCAGAGTACCCTGACCATAGGACCGAAACATTGTGGCTAGGTTTCTGGATCACTTCTGCCTTCCTTAGGAATTGTTTTGTAAGTTACTTCCCTCAGCTTAGTGAGTTGTGGGTGCCTAGGTGATGTAATAGTAAAAAGGCCTGAGTCCCAGCCTCCATCTAGAAAACCCTTGAGAAGCCATCCAGACCCGAGGCTGCTATGGCATTGCCCGTGGTCTTTGCTGCAGTGGCTCAGTTGGGCCATTTTCCTTCCACCCAGCCCTGTTTCCCACTCTCTGCACAAGGTGGTCCTAGGTGCACACCCGTACTAAGATAGTGCAGCAGCCTCAGACGCTGTCCTCTGAACCATTTGCTTACTGGCTGGCATCTGAACTTGGATTTCAGTGGATTTATACCATTCCCAGAAGTAATATGAGCAGCTTATGTGCCTAAACTGTTTGCAAAACACTGCAGCTTATGCTAAACACCTATTTTCCTTCTGAGGCTGGAAATGGGTTCCTGCCTAGCCGAGGATACTCACATAACCAGCCCCCACTAAAAACCCTAGACGCCAGGTCTCTAATGAGTGAGTGTCCCAGGTAGGCAACATTTCCTACGTGTTGCCGTATATGTCCTGTGTGCATCCACTGGGAGAGGACCCTTGGTGGCGCGTGCCTGGGTTCCACTGGACTTCATCTGATGTATGTTTTCCTTTGGGGATTTTTCTTGGTATCCTGTTGCTGTCATAAATCATTGCTGTGAGTATATAACTATATGCTGATTCCTCTGGGTCCTCCTAGCCAATCATCAGACTTCTCCATGAACTTCCTCCATGCAAATCTCCATCCTCTCAGAAAACCTGACTGAGGTCGCCCCTTCCGTATCTCTTGTCTAAGACCTTCAGCCCAACAACCACCAGTAGTCTTGCTATTCTTCTAGCCACCCCCCCCCAGTCTTAGAATCAAAGCCCTCCACCCAGTGGACGACGACGTGCTCCAGGTATACCTCCATGAGGCCTCCCAATGTGAACTCTACATTGTCACCGTCACTGAGGTCATTACGCTTTGCCATCTGGCCAGCTGCCTCAGTTCCCTGATGGTTCTCTGCCCTACCCACACTGATACCCACTGCTGCCATTAATCTTCCTGGTGTGATCTTTGGAAAAGTGAGTTTTAACTTTAAAAACCAAAGCCACTTCCGTTTTTTCTTACGGATTTCAAAATAATATCGAACTTCCTGGCAAGGCATTCAAGGCCTCCGTGAACCGGCCTTGGCCACGACACCAGTCTCACAGCACAATGCCTTTGGGCCATGTGACACCTCGCAGTGCTCACCGGAGAAGCCTTGTATTTTTGCCTCCTTTTCCTTTTATTTACGCTATTTCTTCATTTGCTCGCTCATCTTCCTTCTAACATCAAGATTCTATCACTGTTTTCAACGCCAATCTTCTTTCGCGAAGCTTCTTCTATGAAACCTTCCCAGTGGTCCTCCTCAAGGCAGAATTAAAGTCTCATCCTCGTTCCTCTGCAGTAAAACTAGATTTCTGCCATCTCCTTTTCCTTTTGATGTGGGCCTTTGACAAGATGATCGAGGCTCCCGTTCCTTTCTCCGTTCAGCTGGATCAATAGGCTAACCAGCAGCTGGAAGAAATTCTTGGCAAGAGTTTCTTTTCCTGTGGGATAAAAACCATGACCCACAGTTCAGAAACTGTGCACTTTAGGCTAGTGTACTCCTGGATTATGTTCTTTAAAAATACTGGATCTTCCTCTTATTATGTGTACTTATTTTACCGGCATTTTGTACACACATATGAATGGTAATCTTTTCTTTTTCGGCACTTTATTAGTACATGTTTGCTGTACAAAATGTTTACATTCTTTGTGTGGAGTTGTACATGGATGTAACACATTTTCATTCTCTCACTTTTTTTTAATCTCTTTTCGTACCTTCCCGCTCTCCACCCTCCAACCTTCTCTTGTCCCCCTTCCCATTTGAGAAAGATCATTCTTCCTGCTTCTTGTTATCTCTATTTTATTTTGTAGCTTCTTTGTAATTTCGGTTTCTCACCTAAGACAGACCGTGAGATATTTAAACCTGTGTGTCTGGCTTATTTCATTTAACATCATGGCTTCCAGGTGCGTCCATCTTCCCACAGATGACTCGAGCTTATCTTTCTTTATGGTACAGTAGGGCTCCATTGTGTGTAGATACCACATGTGGAAGGTCATTTTCAAAGGATGAGATAAAAATAGATATAGGAAACTCTAACATTTTCATCCAAGCACCACGAATCCCTGGACACTAGACCGTTGCGCGCCTTTCTGAAACTCCCTGCTTCCTACTCCCAGAACTCTGTAGATTCTGTTTCCCCCTTTGTAGCCACCCTACCTCGGATCAAAACACTTTGTCAGTGATGTTACAAGTAGAGCAAGCACATATTAACTACTGGGTGACCAAAGTGCAAAGGTCATCTTTCACTGAGGAAAGGTGAAGTTCATGGACACAGCAAGGTTCTTGAGGTTCGGCTGTAGCCAGAGATAGTACAAAAAAGGACTCTGAGACTTATTTTTGCTAAAGAAGACAGGATATCCTTTTTGGCTGTCCCTGGAGACTTGCTGGGTAGTTGTGTGTTTGAAATCACTCTGAATCCTCATGATTAGGAAGACCTTTCAAATCATGAACTTGCCTGCAGGTTGAGGTAAATATTTCTTGCCTGGTAATGACAGATCCAGCCTAATAAAGCAGAACTTCAAGTGGCAGTGACCTTAAAAAAAATGCAAATCTCTCAGCTCACTGCTGCTGTCACAACAGACTCTTGAACAAACCTAGCAGAAAAACAAGAAGTACAAGAGATATGTAAAGGAAGGTGGCATAAAAATAACTATGGAAAAGGTTTTGGGAAATATGATCAAATGCATATTAACATCAGACACGGAGTTGAAAATATGACACAAGGGGGCTCAGAGAGAAAGCATATTGCAAAAGAACATTTATGCAACTTCAGGTTAGTAAGATCTCTGCCTGGATTTTTTTTTCTTTTTTTTTGTACTGGGGATGGAACTTGGGTATTTGGACTTGTGAGGCAGGCAGTGGAACCACTGAGCTAAATCCCCAGCCCTCTGCCTGGAATTATTAAGGAAAGAGAATCCAGAGAGAAAACTGTTGTACAGTAAGTCTGGGTCTAGGATCCTGGAAGTTTCCTCACCTAACTTCCGTGTGACTGCATTAAGATTAATGTCAATTGAAATCTTGGTATTTAAACATGGACCTTCTTCCACAGCACAGCTCGTGGAACAAGTCTAATGGATACCATTACACTGAAAGTCGTTAAAATCACAGATTCCACAATGACTCAAGCAGGAGTTACCATGTCATACATGCCAAACAGTGGGGAAGAGGGCTGAACTTGACATCAAGACTTTGAGTAAAATCGTTCATATCCCCTCACTAGCCCACGGCTAGAGATGGATAATTTGGGATTCCAAACAAAAGGCATCTTTTCTGCGGGAAATTTCCTTACAGTGAAAGTCAAAATAAAATTAGACAGAAAGACGATGTCCTTGCTTTCCCCTTCCCAGTAGTCTGGCACACGTTATGCCTACCCAGTGTCTTGAGGCGTCAGCCTCTGCCTTACGCTCTCTTTTCACCCCGCTTCAAGGGTGGGAGAGGCAGGGAGTGGAGAGAGGCCTGTCGTGCCTCACTCCTCACTCACTCACTCTCATGCACGACAAAGCAGATGTGGCCCTGCAGAGTACGGTACGAGGGCCGCTGGCTTGTACGGTCCTGCACAGCAAGGCCCGGGCGCCCACGAGCCAAGGTACATCACCTGAAACAGGTGAGTAATGCAGCTGTGCTCGCCTTTTCTACAGCTATTCGAGGAATTGGAATGTGAGAGTGTCACATGCTCGTTTATCTAATAGTTGACATTTTTGGAAATGCTATAGTTATCTTGGAATGCCACTAGTCAGTTAATACAGAAAAAGAGTCAGAAAAAGGAGCAATTTTTATGTCTCTCTCTAGACATGTAGACATTTATGTCTCTCTAGACGGGTATTTCAAGGCATTTTATCCTGTTGATCTTAGATCAAATGTAAGATGAAGAAATAACCTCTCATTCATTGACGGGTGAACAAAGAGAAAGGACACACTAAGACTCCGGTTCATCTCTAGTCCCAGGGATTTGACTCGTCTAATTCAAGCTTTATTTGGATAGATGAATTCAAAATGCTGTTTTCTAATGAGATGAAAAGCTGCTAATGATACCAAATAAGAAAATACCAAAGAAAAGTATAGCTTTTAAGAGGTGAGATCGTGAGAGTTTACCCACAAAGGAATATCTTTTTCTGACCCCAATGTAAAATTTGAAGGTGGTGTTCTCTTCTAGGGAATTGAGATTTTGCCAGTGTCTTTTAAGAGCACACCCAGTACATCTGGAAACTATTTGCTACTCCTCTGTGTTTTTCTTCATCCAGTGCCCATGTTCAGTGCCCTTTCTCCACGCCTTCCTGAGCTTCTTATTGGGAAAAGGGAGAACAGGCTCAAAGTGACACTTTTCACGGTTCCATGGGCCTGGACTACCTGAGCCCAAATCCACACCTCCTTTGCTAGGGGTTTCCAGGGCCTTTGGAAGTAGAAAAAGTAATTCCTCTCACACAAAAGTCAAAACACTACTCCAGATTCACTAATGAAAGCAGAGACCATGGTAGATATTTCAAGGATTTAATGCAGGGAATTGTTTGCATATGTACAGGAAGAGCTGGTGGGACAAAGAGAAAAAGGGGCGACCTGAGACATCTGAAAGCTCCTAATGTGTCTAGGCTAACACCGGGCAGCCTGTTTCTGGGAAGCTATGGGTGTTAATGTTTCAGGGACTGAATTTTCAAAATTGCTCCTCTCTGGCTCGTGGTGCAAGTAACAAACAGTTTCCACTACTGAGGCTGCTGGATTTGCAGTTATGCTGCCCCCCCTGCTGTGACAGTAGCTGCAGCTGAATTTAGAAGTAGAAAGTTTCTCCCTTGCTCCAACTTCTGGACTTTCCCAGTGCCTGGGATTGGCAGATACTAATAGGACGCTAATGGCAAGGAGAATGAGAGATGGAATTTGAAGACCTCTAACATTAAGTAATATAGAATAGTGTATAAAAAGGCTATGTATGAAGCTGAGATACCAAGTAAGGAGGCACCAAAGATAAATAAGGCAACACAACAGATAAAAAATCAACACTGCTTGCTACAAAGCAAAGCTTTCTAAGCTTTCTTGGGAACAGAGCTCATATTGAAGTTGGGATAAATGGAGGAGATTTGGGGTTCTATGAAGATTGGTAAAAACATCTATTATTCTTTATAACTATGGTGAATACGGATAATATGAAATATAAGTGGAGACAATAGATGTTGTATTTGTCTGAGATTTCCAAATAAAATGTTTTGAAATGTTAACGATAACTTCAATTTGCTTCCCTAAACAGAACTTATTGTATAAGGCGATTTATGCTTGAAATGCCTACATGTAATTCTCAGTACTCTTCAGTGAAGAATGCTTCAAATCCTGCATAGCCTGAATTTGTGAGAAGCTATTCACAGGTGGGTGGCATACAAAGTGAAGACTTTCAGAAACAATAATTCAGAAGTTCACTGCCATTGAGAACATATTTGAAGAATGACAGCTCTTCCTTTAATGACAAGCATAATACTGACGTTTCTTGTGATGATGGTTATTTATTTTAAAAATTACAACTCAAATAATGTGTTCTTATCCCACATACTTTGTATCATTACCTAGCAGCTAGCTTACATGTTCCCGAAGGACACATTGGCTACAAATAGATGGAAGGTGTGATAGTTGTGATATCAAATTGTGATGTCCACTTGAATGGATTAGAAAGTACCTATGGGATCACGGGAGTACATTTCTGGGCGTATCTGTGGATGATTGACATGTTGGTCACAAATTGAGGAGGGAAGACTTACCCAGATGTGGGGGGCATCAATCAATAGGCTTATAGCCTGGATAGAATAAAAAGGGAAAGAAAGAAGTCTACCCTTTTGCTTTTTTAGCATTCTTGTGAGGCCACTTTTTTACCTTATAAATCTTTCATATTAAATCTGTTCCTCCAGAGAGGAGTAACTGATATAGGAAGATTAAATAAATGTGAAAATAGGCATTTAGGGTTAATGCTGAATTGGGAGCTACAGCAGTCAGAACCCCTTATCTAGGCTCCCAAGCCAACCTTCCCTGCTCCTTGCCACCCAGTACACAAGCTCCCTCGGCAGGACTACATCTCCTCACGGCTCAGCCCATGCTGAGTGGCCCATGAAGGAGGTGTCTAGTGGTAAAGTACTCCTTGACTCTAATCCTGTACCATGGCAGAGTAGAGATAATGGGATTGTTCTGTTTTCCCTCTGCAGGAACCTTCACACCTCGTACTCTATCAGCATCTCACAATACAGGAACACCCACTTGTGTGCACAAATCGGGCCACTCTATCTCCAGGATCAGCAAGAAGAGTTGTTTCTCTGCCATGGGGTTCAGAAGTTTGAGTCTAGATGTGTGTGAATCTCCTTTCATTGATTTGTAGAATCATTTTCATCTCCAATATAGAGCGGCATACCCTGACAGAAATTCCATGTTTCAGTATCTCTCTCTAGTAGAACTTTGCATTGCAACTTTGAAATAAGAATGCTGGGAAAATATCCTTTGACTAGTGTGGTTGGCAGCTCTACCATGGCTCTCATGGATCCTGGCCTCCTGGTGTCTGTCCCAAGAGTATAGATTGGATTTGTTTGTTTGCTTCTAATAAGTAGAGTATGACAAATAGTGATGGAATATTGTCTTAGTCCATTTAGGGTACTCTAAAAAAAATACTATAGACCAGGTAATTTATAAATACTTCTATTTACAATAGAAGTATGTTGCTTACAGTTTTGAAGGCTGGGAAGTCTAAGGTTGAAGCCACTGGCAGATTTGGTATTTGGTGAGGGCTTATTTTCTACTTCCAAGATGGCAGCTGCTTCATGGTGGAAGGGAGCAGAACAGCACCTTTCTGCCTCTTTTATTGGGCCCAGCACTAACCTTATTCACTAAAGTGGAGCGCTTATGACTCAATTAGTTCCCCAAAGGTCACACATCTTAATACGATCACATTAGGTGTTAAATTCCAACGTAAGGATTTTGGGAAAACACTGATATTCAGATGTCACCACCAGGATGAGAAGACTAAAGGACTTAGCTTCCATTTTGCTGTCCCTCTCTTGGTCTCTTGCTGCTCATTCTGGCTGAGGTAATGAACTTCCTCTTGGAGAGGCCCCAGGGGAAGACACAGAGAAAGATCTCCAGCTATCAGCCAGCAGAACCCTGAGGTCCCTAATGTGAGAATCTGGGAGGAATGGAACTCTGCTGACAAGAGTGGCAATGAGGTGTGAGTTGGAATTCTCCAGCAGGACACTGAGGAAAAACAGTTTATTTTGGGCATAAGGTAGGAAAACAACAAGGGACAAGAGAAGCATCCTTCTGTCCCTTATATTGTATCCATGCTACTGGGTGGTGCCAAACCAATCAATGGACTCATTTAGTAATCACCCACCCTTAATCCCAGGGTCACACACCCTAGATCCTGCCACCTCTGACCCCACCCCCATGGCTGCATGAGGCTTTGGGGGGACATCTAATGCAAGCCATAACACCAGGCGAGAAGAGGTACAGGGATTTTTCCAAAGTCACAAAGCTGACAATGTCTCTAAGCATGGTTCAATTAATGACTCCCAGGTGAGGCTCCCTTGGGCCCTTACAGGACACTCAGGGTGGCATTGGGGGTAGAGTGGCTCAAGACTTCAGTAAATATTACTTGAATATAAAATCATCCATGCCAGATAAATGTTTTCATTTATTGCCACAACAACTGCTGTTAACTCCCTTTTCAAAAGATTAAGATGAATAAAGTGGTCTGTGTGTGTTTAGATCTTCATTATGTCATTTTAAAAATAACCATGAGTTCTGGATATTTTTAAAAATGTGCCACCTAATGCTAAGCTTTCAAAACAATACCGTATCTGCTACTGGAAAATGAAAGCAGGATAATATATATAATTGTGTGCATGCATTAAATACATAGCAGTAACCACTTCTAGAGCCTTAGGTGTAGAGATAAGACGTGTGGCAGAAGCAGAATTTCAGACTTGTCTCCTATAAACGGTGACCCAGGAACACTGTTAGGTGGCATATCTTGCGATGGAATTCTTATGAAACAGGCCAGCCCACTTAACACTAACAAAGGAGACAAGAAATACTATTTTGGATACCAACTAAAGGAGATTGTCAAAATTGATTTTAAACATTTTTTAAATGATTATACGCTACCTACAAAACTTCAATTGAAATATAATGATACAAAAGGATGGAAAAACATAAGTGTAAGATAGGAACACGAAATAAATCTAGAATGGCTGTATTAATACCCAAGTAGATTTTAGTGCAAAGAAATTTAGCAGGGCAACAGAGGGACATTTTATAATGACAACTGGATCTATTTACTAAGAATCTTAAATACAAATTTTCTTAACAATAGAGCCTCAAAATATATGAAATAAATACTGACAGAACTTATATAGAATAGGAAAATTCACATTTATTGCTGGAGACGTCAATACTCCTTTTTCAGTAATCTCTAGGACTCGCAGATAATTAGAAAGTATACATATAGAGTAGGGTTGGGAATTTTTTTTTTTTCAACAAAGTCAGACACTAAATATATTGTCTTTGCAGGCACATACAGTCTCTGACTCAATTTTTTTTCTCAGCCCTTTCTGTGGTTGAGGGAGCACAAAGGTTATAAGCCAACTTGATTTGTGAGTTTTATTTTGTTGCTCACTCTGGGTGTAGACTTGAACAACATTATCTACCCAATGGATCTAATAGCACTGATAGAACACTCTGCCCCACAATGGGACATATTCTTTTCAAGGCACAAAGAACACCACCAATGCTGGGCACGGTGGTGCATGCCTGTAATCCCAACAACAATGAAAAAGAACACCAAGTTAGACCATATCTTCATTTAAAAATTTCAGCAACTTGAAAATATTTAGAATCCTAAAAAGTATGTACTCTGATCATGGAATGAGATCAATAATTGGAAAAATATCTAAATAGTTAGAAATTTAAAAATGTAATTCCAACAAATCCAGGGTCAGTGAGGTAGTTTCAGAAAAATGAGAAAATATTTTGAACTCACCAAATATGAAAACAGGTAAAAAAAATGTGTGGAATGCACATGAACCATGGGTTAGAGGGAACTGTAGAGCACTGAATTCTTCTACTAAAGTCAAATAAGGTCTCAAATTCCACTTTAAGAACAACAACAACAAAGTGCATAACTTAGAGCGAGGATAAGCAATGAGGTAATAAAAATCAAAGCACAAACCCATGAAAGAAAAACAGAAAAATAAAGTCAACAAAACTGAAATTGGTTCTCTGAAAAGATCAATAAAAATTTATAAACGTCAAGCTTGACTGACAAAATGAAAGAGATTACATAAATTACTAATTCTAAGAATGGAAAAGGGGGTATCACTATAGATACAATAGACATTAAAATAACAGAGATACTATTAACAACCCTACGTGCATATATCTGACAACTTTGAGAAAATGAATCAATTCCTCAAAAACCTCAAACTGCCAAAATTCACCCAAGATAAAATAGATAATCTGAATAATCTTATAAGTGTTAAATCCATTATATTTACACTTCTAAAGCTTTTTGAAAACAAATCACCAGATGGAGGTGGTAAATCCAACCAAAATATTTAAGGAAATGACAATTTTACACAATGCCTTCAGAAAATAGGATAAGGAACATTTTCCAATTCATTTTGTTATCTCAGCTTATCCTGATACCCAAAACCATAAACATTTAGCACAAGGAAATATGAAAGATCAAGATTCTTATGAACATAGATGAAAAATCTTTCACAAAATCTTAGCAAGCTGGATTAAGCAATTGCATGGAAAGAATCACACTCCATAACCAAGCACAATGTTTTCTGAATGCAAGGCTGGTTTGCTTTTTAAAAATTGATTAATGTAGCAGGGCATGGTGGTACATGCCTGTAATCCCAGCTACCAGGAAGGCTGAGGCAGGAAAGGCATGTGTTCAAGGCCAATTTAGAAAGGAAGAAATGGAAGGCACTAAGGAGCCCTGGTCTATAAAGTCCCTGATTAGGAATCAAGGTATATGAACCAGCATCCTTGACTCTCTGGTTCCTCTAGAATCTTGGTTTCATTCTCGAAGACACCACTTTTTTTTTTAATGAAAGGTAGAATGTTTTTGCAAGTGTTGAGTCTTAGCATGCTTCTTGCCAGTAGTATATGGAAGTCCAATGGCCTCATCATTTTGTACAATGTTGGGCTCTTTGAAACTGACGGTGTTAAACAGGTATAATTCTTTCAAAAATTCATGGACCTCTTGCAAATCCCTTTAGCCTTTATCCCAGTAGACAAGAGCCACCACACCTGCAAAACCCCTTCTTTACCTAGTGCTTCTGCAGAAACTGCTGAGGGACAAATTCTTAAACTTCTCTGAGATCCTGGTGTGTGATTAAGGATTAGTGAAGCACACCCTTAATCTTTTTAAAGGACTGGGATTGATGGAATGGCATTGGGAGGAACTGCCTTTGCTTTTTGAGGATCTCAGGGAAACATTTAACATTCACTTTCTTGGATTCCTCTTTAACTTGTTCTCCAGCCCGTGCTCTGGATTTGAACTTGACTGAAAACCATTTCTTAATTTCATCATCTTTCACTGTCTGAAGAGGCTGAGAATTTTCAAAAATATCTATTTGCTGTTACCTCAATTTATGTTTTTCCTTTTGCATTTTACTAGATGCAACAAGAAGGAATCAGGTTGCATCTTCAACACTTTGCTTGGAAACCTCCTCAGCTAAATCCTCAGGTTTGTGAGCCATATTCTCTAATGTGTGTAAAACTACAGACAGTGGTGTTGATAAGATTTCTGCAGGGACCTAACAAGGACTGCCATTCCTCCAGTCTTTCTCACTCACTTGCTTTTTAATCTTCAACACTAGCTTCCTCAAAATCCAGATTTCTCCTAATCGTCTGTTCAAGGAAATTTAGCTTTTGTCCCCTATTTCTCCTCAAAATCCCAGACTCACACGTTCAGGCATTCATTATGGCGCCACTCCACCCTCAGCACAGAGGGGGACCAGAGAAGACCCATTGCAGACACACATGTGCAGGTGTGCAAATGAGGGTTGGATGGTCCTTGATTATAGGAGGCGGTTAAGTGGTCCCTATATGACCCTTGTCTTCACGTCTGATGCTGGGCCTTGAAGGCTTCCAGGCAGGCAGAGTCGGGAAAGGATGACGGAAATCAAGAGCAAGTTAGAACCCAAGTCATGAGATTGGAGCCCTGGGAGGAGGGAGGGAAGCCCGTGCTTACACTTCCTGCTTCTTATCCTTGGTGGCAAGAAGGTGGCAGAGGACGAGTCCCTCCGTCACAGAGCTAACACACGTACCTATTCTGGGAGTTGTACGCTGAAGAAGAACACAGGGGAAGATGCAGCATTTGCTGCCCCCACACCAGTGAGTGAGAGCCCC